ACAATGGAATCCCAGAGGGGTGAAGGCAAGAACATCTTGGCCTGTTTGTTTTCTCTTCTCCCTGCTCTGTGACACTGAGTGAGGCCAGAGGTTGCTTCTGCTGCCAGGCCACCACAGCCCTGTGAGCCTGAACTGCATCAGTCTTTCTCAGGCCCCATAAAGCTGAGTTCCATTCAAGGACATGGCTAGTATTCAGGATGACTCATAGTTTGAGTCTGAGTAGCAGGCATGCCCCAAGGTGCCGCAATAGCATGCTTGTCCCCTTTGGGGTTCTTCAGTCCTTTCTCCACCTGAGAGAGGGTGGGGGAGTAAACTCTCCCTTCTCCATTCTCTTCCCTAAAGCATAGCCTACATTTCTTTAGAGGTAGCATCGTTAGATGAGACGAACTGGGGGCACAGGACATTGGTCTGCAATTGTAGCTCAGCCACTTTCTAGCTGTGTGACTACATCTAATTTACTGACCTAGAGTGTGATTCAGTTTCCTCATTAGTAAAACAATGATGGTCATGCAAGGGTGTGGTAAAGAGCTTCAAAATAAAACCTAAGATCATGTGCAGTTTCTAGGACAGTGTAAGGGGTCATACAAAAAATACTATTACTACAATATTCTTCAGGATAAAATGTCTTTTGACACAGGTCACCCAGCCCAGAGGTAGAGACCCTGGCCCATCCCTGCCTTCCAGGTCTGCCTGAGGATACGGAAATTATGTTTGCAGAGCACACCGAGCCCCCAGGAGAAACACGGATTTTTACAACCATTTAATATTGCCACCATGTTAGTAAGACTAACACATTCATCAACTCCACAAATAAGTACAGACAATTTACCACCACACAGAAATTTTATATTTGCAGCTTTGCACTTTTCCCAAAAGGTAGGCAGATGCTAAATAAATAGCCTTTTTAAAAACCTCCCGTTCTCTTGTTTATAAGGTGGCTGGCTCCCTGCTTGCACTCCACGTACTGCTAGGCCCAAGGACCCAATTCTAGTCTGCTTCGTGTACCTGTGTGTGGATTATCCACTTACTGAAGCATCTGCTGGGAAAGTTTCGGTCTCCACCAGGCTTTCTGTTAGCATCTTCCTTTCCCTTTCTTCCCTCCCCTAGCTCTTACCAGCTGATGTGTGCTTAGGAAATGCAAACTAATTTTAAAATTCACTGGAGCAAAACATGATTAGAATGGTTAAGTCTGCTGCCAAAAATAAAATCAGCTAATGCATTCCATATATTTAGATTTCCAAAATTAAATTGAAATGATGCTTAGTTCATCCAAAGTTTGGGTTGATACACACCATCCCATATCCTGGCTTGTTGACCTTACTTTTTTCTGACAGTAGTAAGTTTGGTTCAGTTGTAAACGATATCACTTGTTCCACATCCCAGGGCAATATTTTTGCTTTTTCATTCTGCTGAATATAGGGGTTCCACATTTTGCTCATGAGAGTGGAAAAAGAATCTTGCAATGTCAGGAAGTACATAAAACAGAAGACTTTTCTGGCTTTATCTAAACTGAAGTTCTTTCATTCTTTAGGTCCCTCTGTCCAGCCTTGCCAAATGTTCAGGAGTTCAGCTGTGGAAAGATATCCTCAGTCAAACCAGGTGCTGGCCCCAAAGAGGTATAAACAAGCCCTAGAAATCATGTTTCTCCCTTCAAGGAGCTCACAGTCTCTTTGGGGAGACAAGCTTAGCACTGCAGTAGAACGAACATGTATTACAAAATACAAAGAATTGCTAATTGTTGTTACATAGAGTATAAGAAGAAATATCAGAGAGAGACAGAGAGAGAGAGACAGAGACAGAGAGAGACAGAGAGACAGAGAGAGAGAGAGAGAGAGAGAGAGAGAGAGAGAGAGAGAGATTGTGAGTTAAGTAGGGTAGTTTTCCTGATGGAGGAGGTACCTGGGTCAGGTAGGATAGCTTAGGGGAAAGGGTGGACAGTTCAGGTTGAAGAACCAACCTCAGCAAATACAACACGTAGAGACATACAAGGAACAGCAGGACAGTAAAAGAAATTAGCCTGAGTGCAAAAGCAGCTCTATGTGGGGGAGTCAGAGGAAGTAGAGGGGTTTGAGGACCCTTGGTGGCAATGAACAGAAGCAGTGAGATACATGCTAAAAGCAAAGAGGGATATTTTAAGGACCCAGGGAATGCTGTGCACTCACGGCCTGGGTATGTATGTGGAAATCACCTCAGGAGCCAGGAAGTTCTTGCTGCGTAGACCATCTTCGCTTCTCTGCATGTGGATCTGCTCCAGCCTTCTCTTTTGCAGTATTAAAGCCCCCTACCCTGCCCCAGCTTCCTGAGTTCTTTTATTTTCTTCTCAGCCCTTTGGCTATTATTTCATCTCCTTTCCAAATCCCTAGTGGATAACAAACCTGATTGGTTCAGGCCTGGTCCAATCACCTGTGTGGTGAGGTCACATTGCGTGCGCCAACATGGTGGCTGATGGCCCTCCTGGGGAGAGGGAATGGAGGGAAGCCCTAGAGGAGGAAGGAAAGAGTTAGTTTGATAGGAAAGAATAGCCAGGATAGGCCTCTTACCATTTGGTTTTTCCAGAGTCACTGAGGTAAACTAGATGAAAATATTTCATTTGGCTGGGATTCTACAGTGTTACCTCACTTTCAGCAGACGTTGAAAAATCTAGATTTTTAAAGCAGAGAAACTGGATTGTGATCATTTACATCATAAAAAGGGATACTGACTTTTGGGAGAAGGGTACCATGCTGCTTTTCAACTTTGAAGGATACTTTTTCATTAAGCCTCCAGTTCCCATCTTATCTGCAGTGCATCTGTTCCCTTGATTTGGGGGCACTCCTCCACTAGCATCTAGGATCCCCACTTGGGCTGCACCCAGGCTTGGCATCTTGGTGCTGGGAGGTCTGGGGAGCGGGATGCACAGTGCAGTCGGCCAGGGGCTGCCCACTGACTAGAAGGTGAGTATCCTGCAGGCAGGGATAGGTCCCGAATTCACCTCTGTATCCATCCCATGTTGGACACGTTGTTGATCAAGTATGGATGTTAATGAAATGCTTGTTGAGCTGAGTGAATCAAGTTGGTTTCCTGTTATAAGCAATTCATAGGCGAGGAGCAGTGTAACGAGAATATAGAATGAATAAGGGAAATGACCCAAACAATATCTCCCTTCCTGCGAATACATCACATGTGGCCCTATGTGTTTTGAGTTCCATAGAAGCTGGGGACACCCAGCTCCTGGTCAGTTTCGTGGCACACCTTAAGTTTAACCACCTCACACAGGGCCCTGAGACCTTCTCTGTGTTCTCATCCCAAAGGGGAGTCCTGGGTTAGCGGAAGCTTGGTGCCCCTGCCTCCTTCTAAGGTGGCCTGGTAGGGGGTACGCAGGGGAGCCGGCTCCCTGCTCTCCCATCCCAGACTCAGCCCATCGTGCAGAGCTGCAGGCCAGGGCGGCCCAGAGGGTGGCCTGCTCGGCGAACTTCTCGCCTTTCACGAGAAGAAGGCAACAAATGCGACAAAATGAAAAATATAATGATGCATATTATATTAATCATCCTCCCTTTTTCTGACACAATAAATCTTCCCTTTAAACTCGTGGTAGCGATGACATCATCTCGCTCTCTCCTCGAAACAGCACAGATTAAGATAAAGTGATAGTGCCGTGTCAAAAGAGAGCTTTACTGCCACACTTGGGATACAAAGAGAGAGGTTAATTTATCATCGCTGGGGAGAACTGACAGAAGGGAGATATACTACCGAAAGGGGATTTAGCACAGGGCCAAGAAACTTCACACTATTTTTACCATCTGTCACATGCTCTAATAAAGCAGGGCAAAATATGAAGAAAGGAAAAATGAACTATCAAACACTGATGTAATGCAGCCCATAAATCTAATTTAATTACTTTGCATGGAGACAGGTCCTTGAGTCTGTGTGAATATACTGGATTTTCTTGGCAACTTAACAACTAAGTGTTTTAATAACATCACACTATAATTTATTCTGCTTGAAACACAAAACCCCTTTTGTGAGAGTTTCATTTTTGAGAACTGTTAATTTTTTCGGCTAATGTCAAAACTGGCATAAATTCACATGTGAACTTGAAGCCTGACTGTGAAAAAGGCTTAGGTTACTGCGTGCCTTTTTATTGTTTGGCACTTTTCCCCCCTTCTGCATGCATTAGAAATAATTGGGCTTTGTTGATGACTTAGGTGAGGAGAGTTGTCTTGCAATTAGATTGTAATATAATGACAAAGTGTGTGTGAGGGGGAAATCTCTGTAAAATATAAAGAGAAAAGAAAGTGCAACGGGGGAAAAAGAATCCTTGTTTTCCAGCAGAGTACCAAAAGCCACCGTGCAATATTCCCAGAAGCAGGCTGCTCCCAGAACCACGAGAATTCCACCCTGGAGGTTGTGTTGTAAGATCGCAGGACCAAAGGGATGCTGGGAACGCAGGTCTGCCCTAGAGGGAGTGGAAAATAAATCAAAAATAAAATTAATATTCATCGGGTGTCTTCCCGAATTTGGATGCAGTTACAGAAATTATTGTTAATAATGAAAGCCATATATCAAATGTTGTAAAATTCATCTGTGCTCGGACACTATTTTTTTAGGCTTTGTTCTGAACCATTAAAGATGACATATTGCATTTGTGTGCCTTTGTGTATAATAAGGTACATTTAAGTCTGATTTTAACCTAAACTGGCAATTTTGGCATTGAACTCAAGTTCGTAAATGGGGGCTGTGACAATCCAGTCCCAAGGAGGTCAGCTGAACCCATCCATTCTCCCATGACCTCACTCAGTAGGGCAGGATGGATGGGTAATTAATTTGTTAGATCATCAGTGATTCATGTTGGAAAAATAAAACTTGGAGCCTCTTGACAAATTCAATTGAAATATAATGGGAAAAAAAGATCAAAAAGCCCCATTTTCCTGCCCCCTGTAAAATCCCAAAGCCTTACACTGAAATAAAACCTAAATGTAGAGATAGTCTGTGAAGTTCATTTATTTATCCCTTCAGCAACACTTAATAAATCCTCACTTGGCGAAAATCTCTGGAGGACACACATTGCTGGCAGCGCTGCTTCAGACAGAAAAATGAGTACGAGTTAAGGACACTGAGAGGGCTGGACCTGGCCGGTAGCGTTGGTGGAGTTCATGATGGAGGAGACAGGTATGAAACTGGTCTTGATGTGGGATTTGCATAAAACAGAAATGATTCATCTGGAAAATTCTAGCAAGTCTTAGACCCATTGGGAAACTGACCACAATACTCACGTTGTAGAATATTTATTGATGCCACTGGTGATTTGGTATGTGTTAAATATTTGGAGCTATTCAAGGGTCTCAAAGCCAGGAAAGTGAGTTGCAAAGGTTTTCAGAGACGTACTTTCAAATCCATTTCTCCTTGTGCTTGTTTCTGAGGTTCGTACTCCCTGGTTCAGACTTGGAAAGCGCTCAGTGCTTGTGGTTTCTTGTTCTGTTGAATTTGAGTGAGAGAAAAATGTCCAGCCTTGAACTCTGAATGAAGCCCGGTGTGAAAAGTAGTGGTTTTCAGCTGCGCTCTTCCAAATGCTCTCGCTGGTATTTTTAAAGACTTCCCACAAATTCTGTTACTGACCTGGGGCCTGGAATAGTGAACGTTAAAAATTAAAAAAAGAAAAAAAATCAACCCACCAGTATTTACTTATGAAATGACTTGGTTATAGCCCAACAATCTGACTGCCTTAAATTAGTGCACAAATTGAAAGTTTGAAGGGTTTCTTTTTTTGACATTTTGATTTCTTCATCTGAAAAATGGGGATATTAATACCTACCTCCTGGGGCTGTTGTGAGGATTAAGTGCCACTACATATGTAAGACATCGAGCATATGAAAATGATGGCTGCAATTAGTATTTTATTATAATTATTTGGGTTTCGCTGCCCCTCCTTCTGCATTTCTAACCACCCTCTTTCCCCATCTCTCCTTTCTCCTTCCCCCTCCCTTCCTCCCCCTCCTATCTCTCACTCCTTGCCCTCCCCGGTAATACACTTTCCACCAGACCTAGAAGGCTCCGTTTCCTCCAGCCTCCCCCTTCTGGTCCAAATGCAGACTGCAGCCATTTTAGTTTTTTTTTTTTTTTTTTTTAGCCATTTTCAAAATTTAAAAAAAAAATGCAAACAAGTAAAAATAATAAACAGCAACATCACATCCAGGGTCCAGCCATTTTCTGGAAATAAACCTTACCATAATGAAGTACTTGGCAGAAACAAAAAGACAGCCAAACACGGAGTTTGCTAAGGGGCTAAAGCAAAAATTTGCACAAGGACCTGTCATCTCTGAAGCCTGGAAATATTACTTTACAGCCAAAGGAGGCAAGGAGTGGGAGGTGTACCCAGAGCTTAAAAGCCAGCAAAATTTATAGTATGGTTTCCTTTAATCGGTAACTGTTAGCCCGACACAAGGTGAACTTGACCTCTTTTAGAAAACAGTAGTACTTGAACTCCCGTGTTGCTACGTGGCTCTCCAGATCCTTCTTGTAACAGGTTCCTGCTTTAACCTTGCTGCTCAAGATGACAGATCATCCACATTAACAGACTCCCTGGGAACTCCAGGTCTGCGCTGGAGGCGCATTGTCACTGACTGACCAGGGCAGACAAAGCAGACTGGGAGCCGGACCCTAGCGGCCAAGGTGCAGCCTGGAAGGCAGGACTTTTAGGGGACACCTCAGACTGCACTGGGACCAGGATGGGGCACCTCAGGGGGTTTTCAGCTCTACCTAGGTTTTTAAGAATTACTCTGCTTTCTTTGCAGTTTCTCGCTGTGCTTTGTTCATGAATGGATTCATTTAAGCACCAGATGTTCGGAGCTTCTGTCTTCCATGCCAGGCCTCCCCCTTAGGTACTCAGTTGAGAAGAGGACGCAGATTCCTGTATGATACAGTGTGTAAGTGCTTTTTGATCAAAGTCTGAAGGAAGTTCTGTAGGGGAGGAGGCGCCTTGTGGGAGACGGGGGAAAGGTTGCTCAGGCCGGTCCCACATGAGCTGGGCACATGTGTAGATAGGAAAATCAAGCCAATTCTGGTGAATCTGGGGCTAAGGTATGCATTCATTTTCTCTCAGGTAAGCTCATGAGCAGGCAGAAAGTGAGTTAAAGGCCAGTAAATCTCTGGCTTCCCGGCTGTGTGGAACTCATTCTTCAAAGCCATGGGCCCTAGTAGAACAGGAAGTTCTGATGGGTTGAGCCCATCTGCATAGATGCTGACTCCAAAGGGAGGCGTTGTGAATGTTATCTGGCCTCCCGAAAGAGACCCTGTGGACTGGTCCCAGTCCTGACAGTGTCCCCACGGGTAAAGGAAGAGGTGTATGTGGAGAGGGGCTGAGATTCTCATTTGTGGTTGGGGTCTTCCACAAATGTGAGCAAAGCGCGCTGTCGAAGCACCATTGGAGCACCTCTGGACACAGGCTGTGAGTGCAGGCTGGGTCTGCTGGATGCAGCTCCTGGGCCACCGCTGTGCTTCCTACTTTCCTGAGTGATCGCAACACGCCTGAGGAGTAGACATGTTAGCATGCCCAGCTCACCAAGCAGGAAAAGGCAGCACAGAGGCGGGGGTAACTTGCTGGAGGCCTCACGATTCTAAAGTGGCAGAGCAGAGCCCATTATGTCTGTCCCAGAACCTGGACTCCTGGCCACCTTCCCGAGAGAGAAGCTACCACGACATCTCTGCTAAGTGGGATGCTTCTCCAATACCTCATCCTCCTGTATCATCACTGTGACCACAGGGTGACATAGGGTTTTACCTTTGTTTGACAGATGGTGAAATTGAGGGTCAGAAAGATTTGGTAAAGTAAGTGATAGACACTGCATTTGAACTCAGTTGAGTCTGACTTGCACACTGACATGCTTCCCACTCTCTCATGGCGACTTTCTAAAATGGAACCTCAGTGGGGGCCTGCCATTCAAGAAGGTGAGTGCTGACTGTCCGGGAGCTGCCTCTCCATTGCCTGCCCGGACGCAGGGCTGATGCTACTGAGAAGGCGGTATATTCTGAATACCATGATGGCTTTGCTATCCAAGCTTCTTTCCCAGTAGGGTGGAGCCAAAGCTCCCTGTGCAAGGGAAGTGAGTCATTAATATATGAACTAGGGGTGCCTCATTTAAAAGCACTTGAAAGCCAAAGGTACTTGGAATTGTTCTTGAGAATGACGTATTCAATGGACTGCCTTAAATAGGCAGTCCCTACTGTGCATTTTGAACTGTGGTTAGCAAAATTTTCTGTAAGTGACCACATAGTAAATATTTTAGGCTCTGTGGGCCTGAAAGTCTCTGTCATAACTGTTTAATTACTCTGCAAAAACAGCTATACCAATACCTGAATGAACTAACAAGGCTGTGTTCCAATGAAACTTCATTTGTGAACACTGAAATGTGAGTTTCACAGTTTTCCTGTGTCATGATGTTTACTTTCTTTTGATTTTCTCTATCAATGTAAAAACTATGTTAGAAATCACAGTGGGCTGTGCTTGACCTGTAGGCTGCAGTTAGCATGGTTTGATTTATAATATTTTATCATGTATTTGTTGTTGGGAAATAAAGTGTATAAATCAAAACACAAAAGACAGCTCTTGCAAAACATATAAATAATCATCTACTGCTTCTTGGGGGAAAAGGTTTCCTGTGATGGAGCCTCTGAAGATTCTCTCATGCAGGAGTGCAGAGATGGGAACTCACGTCCCACTATTCACATGAGACAGACACAGGTGTGTTTCTGGTCATGGATAGCAATGCTAATGTCTCTCTCCAGGTCTTTGCTCTATAGAAGCATTTCTGAAGGTCCTTTGAATAGTTCTTAGGGGTGCTGCATGAGCTCATTGGGTCCCTCAAAATAAGGGCTCAGTTTCCCAAAGGGGCAGGTCTTGAGACAGCGCAAAGCAAAAGCAAAAATTGAAACTTGCAAGTACGTGGGTATATTCATCAGTTTAGGTTACCATAACAAAATACCATAGACTTAAATAACAGAAGTTACGCAGTTCTGGAGGTTGGAAAACCAAGAGCAAGCGTCTAGTAGAGGTCATCCTCTTGGCTTACACATGCCTCTTCTTGCGGTGTCCTCAGATGGTGGAGGAAGAGGCGGAGGGCGGGGGGGAGGAGGAGGGAGGAGAGCTCTCTGGTGTTTCTTTTGAGGACACTCCCATCAGGGTCCCTCATAATCTCACATTTCCGTAATTCCTTGCTTAGTGGCCTCGACTCCTAATACAGCCCCGACAGGCATTGTTTCCTCCACCTAGGAATTGCAAGGGAGACTCAGTCAGTCTGTAACTTGCAGGGCGAACAGTCCTTTAGGAATCATCCAGTGCCTCTTTCTTCTCTGCACTTACTGGCCTGCCTGGGTATTTGGCATGTTCTCTAAAGTTCAGTGTCAAGAAGGGTTCCCATAGCTGTGGCTTGTCTCAGAGGTGACTCCTCCATTCCCTCCAAGCTCCAGCCCCTTGCATGTCTCTATGTTGCCACTACCTTGTTAAATTAAAGGAGCAGGGAAGACAGAGTTTCTCTAGTGTTGCTGGTGAAGACTTGCCCTTAACCAGCTTGCAGTATGTGTGAGCTGGGCACAGAGCATGTAGGTCAGAGAATTTGGGCCCAGACCTGCCCTGAAGGACAGGGCTATCCCCAGGGCCCGGAGGGCTGTCCTACCCTCTTACCTATGTTCCTCCTCCTCACAGGGAAGTCTCATAACTTGCTGGCCACACGTTGAGGGGCCCCAGAAGCCTGCACCCCTGGACACAGTCACTGCTCCATGCCTTTCTGAAGATGCTCCCTGGACTTATCATCATGGCCCCCCACTGCCCCTGCTGTACTGCTGAGGGACTGGCCAGGGAATCCTCTGAGGCAGGCTTTTGTTGTGTGAGTGGAGCTCCTCTTTCGTCCTGGCCCTGTCTTTCCTCTCCCGTTTTGGGTGGGTCCTGGTTCCCTGCCTGGTTCCCTGTGTCATTGCACAGCGGTCTCCTCTCTGCTTTGAGGTGGGTGGTGCTGAAGGACAGGCAGATAAAGCCTGGTGCAAAAGAACACAGTGATGAAAGAGTCCAGCCTCTGGGAACTCACCTGGTGTGGTGACACTGGGTGCAAAGACTGGGTGGCCTTAGTTTCTCACTGGGTTCAGGAGCCCTTGACTAGGGTGTGGGATGGGAAGCATTAGCTCCCCAGGCGCTGCTATATGTGGGGTATGAGTGAGCTGGAGGTAGCAGGAAATAGGGAAGCAAAGGTTGCCTTTGTTATACATGCCCTGCCTTGGTGCCCTATGTATGCCAGGGCCTGTTTGCTGCCTTTTGTTCCCTCCCATTGGGTGTGGCACTCCACCCTGGAAGTGATTACTCTGAGGCTGGTTCCACTTATAGCAAAGTAGATATCATCTTTGGAGCACATTTTGAGAGGTACCAGCAGTCTCCACAGTCAGCTGACTAATGCCATGAAAGCACTGTGTAACAACCACCAGAAAAGTGGCTTAGATGACAATTCTCCTCACTCTGCAGGTTGCTGAGGTTGGCTAGTGCTGGGTCCACCCAAGCTGGCTTTCCTGCTTCTACTCTGGTGGCTCTCTCGTTTCTCTTATGTTCTTCCTGGGGTCAGTGGAATAGCTTGGACGTGTCCTCATGACAAGGCCCGAAGTGGGAACACTCAAGGTGTGCTGGCCAAAGTAAAGGGCTTGGCCAAGGCTGGAGGCAGGAAAGTAGGACCTGCCAAAGTGGAGGGTGCGCTGCTTGGTTACTCAGCGCGGCGCAGGTGCAGACCACGGCCTGGAAAAAGGATGAAGCACCAGGGCCAACACTGCAATCTGTCACAGCCCCCTCGCCCAAAATATCTCTCCCCAGATGCCCCCACATGGCTCAGAATCCCTGCTGGGAACATGATCCCCGTGCAGCCAAATGGTGCCTGCACAGGGCTCGTGGGTTCTGTGGGATGTCTGTGCGTGCTCCTCAGCTCCTCAAGGGAATCAGCAATTTGCCAGACAAAAAGCTTCTGAGGCGGTGTTTTTCAGGACAGAAATATTATGTGTGAGGTAGGTAGGGTTGCGCTGGCCTTCCCATCCCTGAATTCTGTGTCCCTATCCACGCCTGCTTTTTCGTGAGAGGAGAGAGCATACAGAAGTTTTCCTTCTGCCCAGGGAAGCATCATCATAGGTGGTTAGAAAATCCCTGGGGTGGAACCCTTGAGAAGACAGCAGTTACCTCTGCAGGAAGCACACCCCGGCATCTCGGCGATGGCAGAATGTTTGCATCTTTGTGTCTCTGTTTGGGCACACGGAGCCCATGAGGACGGGTGGGCGGTGGGTGGGAGTGTGGAAGGCTGTGTTTGTATGCGTGTGCGCTGCGCTCATGTTTTTGCCAATATGTCTGTCTCAGTCACGCTCGAAAATCTGTCTTCGTAGGCTGGGAACAGAAAGAGGTTTTCAGTATTAGACAATATTATCACCAAATGGGTTGTGTTTTTTAAATGTGAGTTAAGAGAATAGGACCTATTCCAAATGCACTTAGTAAGAGGTGTGTGTGTGTGTGTGTGTGTGTGTGTGTGTGTCGCTGTGTGTTTGGAGATAGAGTGTAAACAGAGAGACGTCTTTCACCTTGAACCTCTCTGATTCTTTTTCTGTTGCAACTAAATAGATTTGGTAAATTATCTTAGAAATTACATTGTTATAGGAAAACTGCTTGTGTTAATTGCATATCACTTCTAGTAATAGGCGCTCTTCTCTCTGTATATCCATCCATATGGACTTTTCAGTCTGTTTGGTGCCTTGAATTGATGATCCTTTATTTCAGGTGGAGAGTGGGGAGGACAGATTGGCTGATGTTCTTTTCCTGGCTCTATAATGGAGCCTCCTCTATTTAAATTCTGCTGTAGTGCACAGCTAGGTAGATCAGTTCCTGGTGAGTACATGCCTCCAGCGCCATCTC